GCACTGTTGATCTTCGGCCGAGAGCCCTGCTTCGGAGTTCCTTACCAAGCGGGGCCGAGAGGATGCCTCCAGTCTGCAGGGGGTTCAGGCCATCAGCGCGAAGCCCAGGGTGCCTGGTTGAGGGGTTAAGCTAAAGTTTAAAGTTCGCAGAGTCTCTGATTTGTTGCATAGGCTCAAAACCTCTGAATGTTGACAGACTGCCGCAACTACCCTGCCACACCGGTGCAGACCTAGCGAGTCGCCTGGAAGACGAAGTTGCGTCCACTAGGATGGGTGCGTATAGGTGTAGGGTTTGGGCATACCCTCCGCCACGAAGATTGAGATCCTTGTCGGCTTTCTGGCTTAGCTTTGTATTCAGCCAGGTTCAGACCCGTTATCTTGACCCTTGTTCCTACAAGGCTTTGTCTCCCCTGGTTTGCACTGCGAAAGGCTTGCACGGAACCGAAGTATGTTTCAACATCCGAAGGAGTGGGAATGGGAGTAGGAGAAGGAGAGGGGTAGGTGTACGAGGTACTGATACAGTAGTACTGGTAGCGCTACGTGGTAGTGCTCGCCGTGGCAGTTGTGATGTTCGCATGAATGATGATGATGATGACGATGATGATGATGATGATGATTGCGACGAAGGTAAGGCTTCCAAAGACGTCAGGTTCTGGACCATGGCGAAACTGCAAGATACTGGCACGTTCTTTCCCGCGGCGCGTACCATCGCAAACACACCACCATCAGGTATCGTCTCAGGCAGGTGGCTTTCGCCGTTTTCAGCATCATACCAGCGAAAGCTGGTAGCAGATGTTTTAATCTTGTCTGGGAGCCGACCAAGGTTCGGCGGCCCGGGAAAAGGGCGGAGCAGCTGCAGTGGTGGCAGAAACTGACGGGGACTTGGATAACGAGGGTTTAGGGTCTAGTGATGGTTAGCAAGATGATTGCAGGTTGTCGTGGGGCTGAACTTGAGTCCAGTAGCAGACACGGATGCACCCAACAAATCCTTTCATCAGTGTTGCACGCTGCTGAATTATTGTATTCTTTCGTGCTGTCTCAGAAGTTTGTTCAGCCTGTTCCGTGCTTTGCATGAGTTTAGAGATCTTGCCATGCCTAGCGAAACCCCCAAAGTCATCTTGCAGTTCATAAATAATCCATAGAAATCCAACGGCAATCTCCAAGCGGCCCAGGCCTGTAGACAAGCCTGAGGTTCAGGACCCATGCCTCTGCTGATAAAGCTCCGACACTTCCAGAGTTTAAATTGTAGTCTTTCGGTTTTAGGGTGCAGTGCTATGGCGCAACTTCGAACAACTCCCAGACCCCAACTGTTTGGAAAATGCTTTCGGACCGCTCAGAAGTCAGCGTGCCTGTTCATGGTCTTAGTTATTGGAGTTATACACCATGGCATAAGTTAAAAGTAAAGTCAGAAACCGTTAGGACAGGAATAGTATCTGTAGTTGTAGTCATGACTACAAGTATATGTTAGTACGTAAAGATAAGTAAAGTATAGTGTTAGTGATGATTTCTAGAGAGAGTCAGGTTCTGGAGGAGATCGGTCTGGAGATTCTGGCTGAGACGCTCCGAAATCCGGACTTGTCACCGGGCCTGCCAGTCTCTGAAACCATTTGAAGCATAATTAGAATAGGGTTTGGGAGCCATTTTACTATAGTTATGATAAGGAATCCACCAAAATAGCTACTTAAGCCACTATGGCTCAGTAGTAGAGTAGGCAACCTTTAACCTTTTTGTTGGGTAGTATAGTCCCTATATAACCCCTATAGAACCAAAAAGGTTAAGCTTTAGTTCCCCATGATACCCGACAAGAAGCCTGAAGAGTCCATGTAAGTCCAGAGTATACACTATGTGAGCAGAAGGTAGAACCTGTAGTAAAGCTATCGTTTTTCGAGGGCTGCCGTTCCTTGACCTCTTGTGGCACCTTTGTCTAGATAGACAGTAGCATGATCACCTTATGCAACTGATTGTAACAACTTTCAGGTTCCAATATGAGCATGTCTTGTGCTGTGTGAGTCCCCACAATCCTCGTCTGACTTGTCGAGCACGAGTGACAAAAAAACAACTTTCAGGTATTAGCCTGGTTCGGGTTGATGCTGCAATTTAGATAAAGCGCTTTTCATGATGCGTTTGAACCCGACTGGCCATCTGAAGCTCCTTTGGCATGGACGTGGGGAACAACACGCCGGATGCCCCATTCACCCTAAGACCTCAAACCCAGAAGCCCTCTGTTCCATAAGCCCCAAATGATTAACTCCATAAGCCCCTGAACCCCCAGGCATCAATCCCTAGCGAAACTCTGCGCTCAGCCTCAGCCGCTCTTCAGGATGGGTTTAGGGTGTAGGGCTGTGCAGATCAATAGGTTTAGGGTTGAGGCGAATAGAGTTTGGGGTTTACGGTAGGGTTTGGGGTTTGTTTTATACGAATTAGTAGGATTTGCTGGGATTATCCGCAGTGCTTATCAGCATCTCTCAGCAGATAACAAGATAACACACTCATTGGTGGTTTTGTTTAGGGTTGACCATTTAGCTATTTCGGGGCTAAGGTGTGTAGGTTTCGGGGTGTAGTGATTCAGGGCTTTAGGGTTTAGGATTGAGGTTCTTTGAATGTCTTCAGGGTTCGACCTTGAAATAGTGATGATGAGGGCTTTGGGTTTTTGCAGGCGCGGGGACAAGATAAAGCTTCGTAGGGTTTTAACATAGGTTTTGGAGGTTTTAGAGTTTTTCAGATTTACGGGTTAAAGGTTTCTGGACCTGAGGATTTGGGCTCCAGTATTTTGGGGGTTCCGAACTTAGGCGTTCAGAGCTTTTTCTTTATGTAGGTTCCGAGGGTTTAAGGTTAAAGTAGTCGTCAACACAAGTCCCAGCAAAACCGCCCACCGAGCCCACGGGGCGCAGTTCGGAGAAAGGTCCAGGCGCGCTTTTTCCCTGCGATGAGCGCCTGCCAGGATGTCGGAACAAGCAGCCGCGTAATAGCTCATGCCGAAAAGTCTTGCAGATCTCAGCCACAGCAATCACCACCTCAATGCTGTCACAATCCTCATCATCAACAGCACCAGCAGCATCGGCGGCATCAGCATAGTTCATTCGGCTTTCGTATCATAGTTATTGACACCTGTAGAAACAATCGCAACAACGGCACCAAACACACAATTTGAGCCACAATCGTTATCACGATGATGAAATTACTGTGTTGTTGGGGTGCTGCTGGTGTTGCAGCCCTTCGTAAAACCGTAAGTTCGTGGGCCAGGCAATGTGCAGGGAACCCCGACCTTCGACATACATAGATACATAGACCGTGCGGTTTAGGGGTTAAGGTCGATCTGCAACCCCAGCTTTTTCACGGATGGGTCGTTGTTGTCAGATCCTTGCAGATTTTGTTGCACTCTAAGATACATGGTCCACAGGGCCATTTTTGGACGTTTGTTCTAGGGCTGTTACCGAAATTCCGGAGCACATCCCTAAACCCAAAACCTACATCCGACCCGGCATACAAAAACCCGGGGAAACGTGGATCCGAAAGACGACACATCCGTGTGAAGGGCGTCGTATCGGCGGGGGGGGGGGTGATTCTTCCCAGAGGTCTTGCTTACTATGCATGTCTGAACCCACGCAGGCAAAAGATTCAGCACATCATCGATCTCAAGGACGACGCCTCTTGCACATGCCGGGGCCAAGAAGAATACACTCGGGTGAAGTAAGAGAGACTTGTCAGATCTGCTCCAAAAAGCCTTCTAAATCCTGGGTCGGCAGAATGACCTTCATGTGCAGATCTGATCCTGCTGATGTGGCTCTTCTTAGATTTATTTCATGTACGAGTCAAGGGGCTGTAGACCTCTTCTGCTCGCATGCCTGCAGCTACTAGCTTCCGCGTACCTATACTATACAGTTTCAGAGCGCAGTAACGTAAATAGTTAAGCCTGGGTGTACCATCCCACTGTGCTGAAAGTTCGTAGTCCGACGTGACAGCCGAGGCCTCCACCAAAACATGTAATAAGAGGGGCCTAAATAATCGGATTTGGGTGTTGGGGTATACTACACTATGATTATAAGAACAGTATAGGTAACCGCTTAAGGCCCCTATAGTAATGGAGGCCAAGGTTTCGTATAGCTTTTATCCCCAAGCAGTGATTTCACTGACTCACTAAGGATCCCGTGTTTGGGGCTCCTCAGCAACGGGTTTTGTGATCAGGTGCCCGACTTAGGGGGCCTGATTTGTTAGGAGTACGTATTCTTCCTTGACATAATAGGTGTAATATAACCCACGCTTAAGCCCTATCCTGATGTTTGAAAGACCTCTCATTAAATCCCGTAAGCCCCCGATACAAACCCTTGAAAAGAACAATTTAGTGGAGCCCTACTCTAATTATGAAGGCCCGCGATGCTAAACCCGCATAGTCATAGTAGCTCTTGTAGAACCCCTCAACGGCCTTAAAAAGAACCCTACCTAGAGGATCATGCGACCTTAATTGGAGACTACAGCTACCTTGTTGATAACCCTAGTTACTTATTATGAAGGCCCACGTGCATATCGCCCGAGCTCAGTGTCTCCTCAAAGCACGCAGGAAGGCAACCACACTTTGAGAGCCGAGCTCAAGAAGGCTGGTTTGGGCTTCGGGGTTTAGACCCTAAGCCCCTTAGAAGGCTCGGGCTTACGCGGTCATACAGAAAGTGCACGCAGATGTCTCAAATTTTTGAATCGCTGTGCAACACGGAAGGCAGAATTGCGGACGGATAGGATAGACTCAGATGAGGCAGACAAGCTAGTTCACTTGCCCATGCTTGTATATGTCGGCTTGTATTTTGCGAGCACGCTTGCTGAGCACTTGCATTTGCTGGCATGCGTTTCTGCCCGGTACATGTTGTGGTGTTGAACGGTAGCACATGCAGTTTATCTTCAGGAGCAGCGCACCTTACCAAGTTCTCGGTCGTGGCTTGGTGCTTTGAAGGCACTTACTGTGACAGTTTCGGCCCAGACATAGAGGTCGGCCGGTGAGGCGCAGTGCCATGTCGTCGCCTTCCAAGCCCCATGCGCATGGAGAACCTACGGCACACAAGGGCACCACCTCGAATGCAGTCGAGGCTTTGCCCTCCATGCCCCATGCGCATGAGAAGCATCGCCAGAGCTGCGACGAAGGTCACCTGGTAAAGCTGCAGAAATTCCTGGCGAAGGTCGACCAGAATCCGAAGCGATTGGAGAAGATGATTGCAGCGCGCCGGAAATTCGATGGGCTTGCAACCCCTGACAGCGCAACTTCAAGAGATACCAGCAACCAGGCTCCAACATCTTTTGTTACATGGTGTTCCAGAGACTGGTGCCATTCCATTGATGGGTTGAGTTGTGTTGGGCTGGCTTCAAACTTCAAACCCTTAGTAAACTTTGCAAACTTGACATGTATCAAGCAATTCAACGACTCTGACCTGAATCTGTCTGAGGTACCGGTGAATTCTTGTTGACGGGTGAATTTCTGTTGGACGAATTCGCTGTGGACCGACCAGAACCTGCCAGCCGGCATGTTTGCCAGAACCGGGCGTGCAATCGACGCACGGTCAGCCTCTAGAGTTTTTCTGGGTAGGAGGATCTCAGGACTCAGGAATACGTCCTGTTGTTAAGCCCTTGCGCGGATAGCTCGGATGTCTAAACACTGTCCTCTCCTACCGGGAGTGAAAATTCCATGCATGACGCTCCAGCCAGTACTATATTTCGACATATTGCTAAGGGTCCTAATTAATGTCCTAATGTATACTGTTTTCGCCAGCAGTAGTGCTTCCCAAGTGTATCCGTTCTTCCGCTTGCGTCAGGGCCGTTGAAATTCTCCAAAATAAAATGCTAGTCGTGCTTAGATGGGAGTTTCCGAACATTAGGGGTACCTTTTTTTGGGGGTCCTTGTAATAAGGATCCTAGTATTTAGGGTACTATATTAAGGTCCCCCTATTTTCGGAAACTCCCAGATGTGACAGCTCAGGGCATGAGCCGGTCCAGGAAACGGTTACTTGAAGGATCATGGCACTTAGTAAGCATGGTTATAGGTACCCTAATTGGGATTGGCCCCAGGTTATAAGTAATTATAAGTATAGTTATCTTAACCACAACTCTTCAGGGTCAAGGGAGTAGCCTGACTTCACGACATCATTTGTTCTGGCGTTGTTCTGGCTGTGGGTCCCAGCACTCTATCTTGACATGAGATGACGCTGGCCCGCTGATAAGACTATTTTCTGTTTCGGCACCGAAAAACAAGATGACGCTGAGGATGAAGGTGATCATGCTCATAATGATGACATTGGCAAGTTTGCCTCCCATTTCATCTGCATCCATTAGCAGTCTGTTGTTGTACTTCGTACCGTGGCTTGAACTTCGGTCTGGGCGTCTGAGCTTTATCTGCATAAACTCTTTTTGATGTTTGCGTGAACCAGGTTTAGCAACCTTTGCCGTCCGTCGGTCGTAGCGGTTTTTGCTGTGGTTGCTGCTCATGGCCTGTTGGCTGTTGACTATTGGCCGTGTTTGGTGCCGTTGTTGGTATTGCTCTTGTGATTGTGATTGTGGTTGTTGTCGTGGTGGTTGTTGTGGTGGTTGTGGTTGTGGTTGGAGTTGTTGTTGTTGGTGGTGCCGCTGTTGGTGTTGGTGTTGGTATTGGTGTTGTTGTTGGTTTTTGGTTGTGTGCTGCTGGTTGTTTGTTGTTTGTTGATTGTGTTGATATTGTTGTTGTTGCTGCTGTTGTTGTTGTTGCTGCTGCTGCTGTTGGTGCTGTTGTTGTTGTTGTTGCTGCTGCTGTTGTTGATTGTGTGTGAATTTTTTTTCGTTTTTTAACATTATTCTGGTTGTTGCTGTTTCCTTGTTGGCTTCTTTTGTACAGTCTTATTCAATAAGTCTTGTTATTGCTGTTGTTGTTGGTGGTGGGGTCTTTGGTGTTAGTGCTTACTAGTTACTAGTTACCAGTACGAGTACTAGTACTACTTCTACTACCTAGTACGTAGTACCTAAATATTAACTACTGCTGCTGCTGCTACTACTGCTGCTACTACTGCTACTACCATTACTACTACTACTACTACTACTACTACTACTACTACTACTACTACTACCACTACTACTGCTGCTACTGCTACTGCTACTGCCACTGCCACTGCTACTGCTACTGCTACTGCTAAAACTGCTGCTCCTGCGGCTGTTGCTGTCGCTAAGACTTTACTGATTTGTACTATGGAATGTTGAGCTCGCAGCTTCTGCTGTAAAGGAGGCTTCATGCCATCTGCTTTTCCGAACGAGCTGCTTCACCACATGAGCCACTTTCATGTTGCGTGTCCAGCCCACAATCTTCCCGGCACGATCGAGGCACCAGCAAAGAAGTCCAGCCTTAGCTCGATAAGCCGGTATGCCCTGAGCCCTGAGCCTTTACTATTTCCCCAAAATCAAAGAAGGACCGCGCCGGGACGGGGGCTGACATGCTAAAGCGCAAGCTGTGAGAGCTGCGAGTTTGTGTTTAAGCATTGGACTGCTTTTGGATGAGGCTCGTGCAGCCAGGGTTCGAGAATCTTGGCCAGTGCAACGGTGTGTCAGTGTTTAAGCTGGAAATTCACCGTTGCCGCGTCAAGACGAGAGCCCATCACAAGATACTACCGTTATGCAAGCATAGTAACACGTTTCCAAGACAATATCGTCGTAGTAGAAATCCTTACCAGTTGATAGTAGGGAATGGAAGAATGGTAGTAATAGTAGACATAATTGTACCCCATTCCTCCATTCCCTACTAACGAAGGTAGCAATCTGAATCGAAGATTCGCAATATCACCGACGCACTTGAACCCTGGGGGCAGTTTAGAACTTCCGGCCTGGAGGGAGGAGTTCCCAGAAGCCTTGTCCCTCTGATGCAGCAACGCATTTTTAGTCCTGTTCTAGCATGGGATAGAGAGGGCTTAGGATTCGGGGGTTCGGGTAGGGTTTCGTTTGAAGCACTTCTTGTGCTCTTTTGAGGACACCACCGACCCCGTGCTAGAACAATCCCAAAGCCAACAGACGTCGATGAATGACGCATGGTGGGATCTTGCAGCTCAGGGCATGAGCCTCGGTAGGGTTTGGGATTTCGGGTTTGGTCGTTCGGCTAGACTTGAGTCCGGTAGCAAAATGGGTTTAAGGCTTCCGGAGTTTGAGGATGTCCAGGGTTCAGGTCGTGGGGGCTATTTAGGGAGGTTTAGGGTTGGGGGAGCCTTGTGGCTTGACTGTCGTGTCCAAGACCTTTCAAATTGATACGTGATGGCGATGGCCAACTGATGACGGTTGCCACGATTTCAAGGCGCCACTAACCGCTACATTAGTTTGTGTCTACAGTAGAAGCCCAAAAGTTGGAAACCCCATAGCCTCAGTCCCTCAGAGTAATGTATAGGGAATGTCAGCACTATTTGGCCTTAATCCGGTTCCCAACTTTATGTAGTTTACTGTACGAGTTTGCTTCCTATCGCCAGCCACGTTAGCTGTGTACTGAGTTGAAGAATTTTGCAATAGTAGTAATTGTACATGTGAACAGCGAGGCTTCATGCCATCTGCTTTTCCGTTCGAGCTGCTCCACCACCTGAGCTAGTTTCATTCTTCACGTCTTTTTCATGTCCAGCGCGCTCTCACCCCCACGCGAGCCTTCAGCCTCAAGCCAATAAGCTCTTCAGCCCTCTGCATGTACTTCGTAATTATGCAGCGGAGCCGAACCGCGCGGGGTGCCGGGTTTGCTTGCTATAGCGCAAACAATGAGAGGTGCGAGTTTGTGCTTAAGCATTGCACTGCTTCGGAAACGCATCGTTGAGTGGAACCCATCGACGCCGAGAGTTTGGATGAGGCTCCTGGGTCCAGCCAGGGTTCGAGAATCTTGACCAGTGCAGCGGTGTGTCAGTATTTAAGCGGTGTGTCAGTATTTAAGCTGGAAATTCACCGCTGCCGCGTCGAGACGAGGGCCGAGAACAAGATACGTGAAGATATTTCATTATGGTTATGCAATCATCGTAGCAAGCTTCAACGCCATCATCGTCGCAGCAAGCCTGGTAGAACATTGTCAATACTACCAATATAAGTAATGTTGCCGGCTTGCACGTGAACCCTGGGGCAATTTGGAAATTCCGGCCTGGAGGGAGGAATTCCCAGAGACCTTGCCACTCTGGTGCAGCAACGCCTTTTTAGTGAAGCGGCTTAAAGATTGTTCTAACATGGGACTGAGAGGGTTTAGGATTCGGGGGCTAGGGTTCGCTTTGAAGCGCTTGTGTTTAACAATCGCGTGCTCTTTTGAGGACGCTAAAGAGGGCACACCAGACCTCGAAGAAAGACTCACGGGCAGAATCTGAAGAAAGATGTGCCAGACTGCACCCTGTCTAAGCGACTGTGCAACTTCATGCCGGAAACGGTTTTTGTTGTAGAGCCATTTGTAGATCCAGGGTTCGCTCGATGATGCCCGGACGCCAGATAAAAAACTTGAAGCTGCAAGCCCATCAGTTCACAGCAGGTTTTGCCCAGAATGCGAGTTCCGGCCTATTGCCAAACTTCAGCATCCAACAATACTGTCGTAGTGTAGTTACAGTAGCAAGAAAATTGAACATGATGGGGTGTTGCCTTGTTGGGCATCTGTGTCGTGTTATTGCTGCACTGCATCGGTGGTATGTTTGTCTCGGTAGTAGTAGTAGTAGTAGTAGTAGTAGTAGTAGTAGTAGTAGTAGTAGTAGTAGTAGTAGTAGTAGACAGTAGTAGTAGTAGAGGAGGAGCAGGAACAGTAGCAGTTATTGTTGTTGCCGTTGCGGACGAACATCGGCAGCTTCACGAGTCAAGTTTTGTGTTGTGACAGTTTCGGCCCAGACAGAGAGGCGGGCCGGTGAGGCACAGTGCCATGTCGTCGCCTTCCAGGCCCCACGCGCATGGAGAGCACATGACGCACAAAGAATCCGCCTCGAACGCAGTTGAGGCTTTGCCCTCCATGCCCCATGCGCATGAGAAGCATTGCCAGAGCTGCGACGAAGTTCACCTGGTAAAGCTGCAGAAGTTTTTGGCGGCTATCGACCGGGATCCAAAGCGACTGGAGAAGGTGGTTGCAGCACGCCGGAGGTTCTTTGGTCTTCCAACCCCAAACCTCACAACTTCAAGCAAGACCAGCACCCAGGCTCGAGCATCTTTTGTGGCATTTTCCGACGAGTTGTGTTGGGCAGCCACGTGCTGTCTGGCTTCAAACCTTTTGTATACTGTAAGCAAATCACCTGCACAAAGCTGCGCATCTGAGGTATGGGTCATCTCAACCGCGATGTCAAGTGGGAGGACGAATGCTCGTTGGACCAACCAAAAATTGCCACCCAGCATGTTTGCCGGAACCGGCCGTGCAATCGACGCACGGTCAGCCTTTAACGTCGTAATGTTAGGACGACCTCCGGAGGTCCTGTTGTTCAGCCCCTGCCCGGATAGCTCGGATGTGAAGATGCTGTCTTCTGCTACTCTGAGAGAAGCTCCGCGCTCCGCGTTCAAGCCCGTACCGATGCAGAAGTATGCCCCAAAACCCTATTCTTATTATTAAGGCCCCTATATTATAGTAGCCCTTATTTTTATAGTCACCCTTATAGTACCAGCACAGTGTTTGCACGCACAATGGCGGTTTCGTCTCCACTGTTCTGCTTTCGGCAGGGCTGAACTTGAAATCCCAAATACAAATACCTGTCGTGCTGGGGGCTTGCGGCTCAGGGCATGAGCCCTTGCAGTGTTCAAGTCTTGGGGATTTTGGGGATCTTTAGGGTTTGGGGAGCCGGAGCCTTCTGGCTTTCCCAAAACGAGCTGCTCCACCTCAGCCAGTTTCATCCTTCATGTCCAACCTTCTCTCTTCCCGGCAATAGTACTATTGGTCATTATCTAGGCGCCTAAGATGGAACCCCATTGTAGATCCCTTTAAGGAAGCCCTTCAAAGGAACCCCCAACACAGTATAATTATCCGGGCATCAGCACAGAACTTCAGCCTCGGTGCTTAATATGCCCAAACGCCCCCAACATGTACTTTGTAATTACGTCGCTTAAGTCGAAGGACAGTGCGGGGAAGGGGGTTGCCGGGTTGGCACGCGGCAGCGAAGGCTGCAAGTTGTGTTCAAGCATTGGGATGATGAGTGGAACTTATCAACATCCGGCAGTTTGCATGATGCTCCAAGCGGATCGAGGGTCTTGACAAGTGCATCGGTGTGTCGACATTTAAGCTGGTAGTTCACCGTTGCCACGTTAAGACGCGAGTCAATATAGGGTTTAGGAGTTTAGAGAGTTTAGGGAGTATCTTCGGTGCAAGTGCGCTGATAACCCGGCAACACCACAGGAGGCCTGGATGCAAAAAAGAGAGTTTAGGGAGTGTTTACGGAGTACTGTTCAATGGCGGATGTCCAACCATAGTAAGGAGCACCCTTCACTGCAATCGTCGTCGAGTAATCAAGGTAGAATCGTTCCAACACTACCAAGTTAAGCGTAATGCTTATGGCTTGCCCTTGAACCCTGGGGCAGTTTTGAAATTCCGCCTGGAGGGAGGAATTCCCAGATCTTGTCACTCTGATGCAGCAGCGCATTTTTAGTAAAGCGTGTTGGAGGTTGTTCTGACATGGGGATCCATCAAGTTTAGGGTTCAGGTGTTAGGATTCTCATCGATGCCCTCATTTCAACGATCGCGTGCTCTGTTTATGACACCACAGGGCCCCATTCTAGAGCAACCCCAAAGCACATCAGACGTCGACGAAAGACCTGCTGGCAGAATCTGAAGAAAAATGTACCAGGCTGCACCCTCTTTGTGTGGCATCGCGACAGATGAAGATGCAGGTTTGTGGTACCAGCTGTGAACCAGTGAAAGGGTTGGTCCGATTCGAGTGGGAAACCCTGACACATCGAGTCAGTTCACAGCAGCTGTTGCCGTTCCAGCTTGTAGGTGCACTTCCTAGGGTTTGGGGTCATAGTTTGTTATAGTTTCAGCAGCAAAGGAATTTTCCGCCTGTTTCCTGCCCGTGCACATTTGCCCCGCTCACATGCTGCGTCTCTCGACATGTACCCACTCAAGCACTTTTACCTGCAGCTTTCTGGCTGCCCAGTAGTTGTCACATGTAGTCGCATTAGCAGCTGTACAACTGCAGCAATAGCTTCAGCATAGTAGTAGTCGTCGTCGAGGTCGTGGTTGTCGAAGTAGCAGTGGTCGGACGAGTAGAAGTAGCAGTAGTAGTGGTAGTAGGTAGTAGTAGTAGTAGTAGTAGTAGTAGTAGTAGTAGTAGTAGTAGCACTAGTACTAGTGCCATTAGTAAGAGTAGGAGTAGGAGGAGGAGTAGTAGTAGCAGCTGTCGTTGTCGTGGTGGTGGTGGTGGTGGTGGTCGTAGTGGTAGTAGTGGTAGTAACCGTAGTAGTAGCAGCAGGTAACGCAGCAGGTAGTAAGAGCAGCAGAAGCAGAGCAGGAGCAGGAGCAGGAGCCATGGCAGCAGCAGTAGGAGTAGTAGCAGTAGTAGTAGTAGAAGAAGGAGAAGTCGTAGCTGCCAACACTACTACTACCACCACAGCTACCACTACCGCTAAAACCACTACCACTAGAACCACGACCACTACTACTACTACTACTACTACTACTACTGCTACTACTACTACTACTACCACTGCTGCTACTACTACTACTACTGCTACTACTACTACTACTACTACTACTACTGCTACTACTACTGGGTAGCAGCAGCCGGAGGAGGAGAAGTACTAGTAGTTGTAGGAGGAGAGGCGTGTCGGAGTACGAGCGTCGTAGGAGTAGAAGTGTAGGAGTAGGAGTAGGATTGGTAGTAGTCGTCCTCGTCGTGGCGGTGGTAGTGCTTGTGCTAGCAGTAGTGCTCGTGGTAGTGGCAGGAGTAGGAAGAGGAGTAGGAGTAGGGGAAGTAGGAGTAGTAACAGTGCACTGGCAGTCATCCGCCTCCTGCTCCTCATCGTTGAACACTGTACACTACGTTCTCCATGCCAAGCCTTTTGGCTCAATCCTCCGACTTCCGACTTTCCTTAGAGGAACTGGCATCGCATGTCAGAGAAAGCACTCTGCTCGATGCAGCGTGCAGCCAGACTAAAAGAGACCGAGCACATGTTCCGTCAGATCGATGACCTCGAAGAATTCCGGCTTTGGATTGAGCGCGATCCTGAAGCTTTCAAGAAGTCCATCAAGACCTTGCGGGAGCAGTTGGCATCTTGGCCTCCTGATACTGCAGAGACCGACCCACCATGATATGCTTAAATCAAGCCCCTACAGCTCAGGCCCAGAGATATTCCATAGATGCTCTTTCAAAAGACTGCAAGGACGGGGATCTGGACTCGCAGCCAGACACATCGAGCGACATGAGCCGGTTCCACGATGACCAGACCCTTGCCTCATCAACAAGCTTGTAACGCTTTTTGGTTTGGGGGTTATTAGTCTGAAAGTGCAAGTTCTTATGTCCCGGGTATTGACGCAAAGGAATTGCAGAGCGCGACAAGTGAGTCTCGAAGACGAGGCTGAACCGCCTGGCTGCAACATACGGGTTTGCGTGAATTATGTTGTGCGCCTTTGAGGTTTGGCATACCGCCGGAAGTAGGCATAGGATTGCTGAAGGAGGAAAGGAGGAGGCCTTTAGGCCCTGTAGGCCATCGCATGTCCAACACATGCTTGGCAGGAGCAGGATCGAAGTACGAAAGCCTGTTCATCTGGCGGTTCTTCTAAATCAATTCCTTGTCCGACCTCCTCAGTCTGATCTCAGCTGGTCCCATTAATGTAGGTCTAGGTGCTTTAGGGCTTATAGGGATGGTGTTTGAGGGAAGGGACACGGAATGTGGAACAACAGCCAATTCCTCTAGCAGACCACGAATGTGGCGGGGGGAAGTTCTGCAGAGGTTCAGGTAGAGAGGCCCGATGCGGCTCTGTGGCAAAGTCTGCAACAGCGGATATGCCCCAGGGCCAGGCAAACGGGCAAGAAAGCATACGCTACAGATCTGAGGCAGCGTTGTGACCGGTTGTCAGGCTCCTCCGTATATTGTTCGTTGTTCTGCATCCAGGAACTAGAGTTTCTTCCCCAGAGCCTCAATGCTGCCAGATGCGCCACAGGTTTTTTTTGCAGCCTGCCATTGCTCCAGACATCCTAAAGTCCTAAACCAAACTCGAAACAGAATCTTCTTACAAGTTCTGCATGAAAGGCAAGAACGAGACCTTTCAAATTGCATCCCCCCGGTGCATAAACTCGGCTTGGCCGTTGTGAAGTGGCAGATGCTCACCAGAGAGCCCACTACTCAGTTGCCGTGCACATGTGCCTGTATTATTCACAAAACAATCTTGACCTCCAATCGCAGAAAGAGTAACCCGCATCGCTGGTAATAACTATTTCCAGCTCGAAAGCCAAATTATGTAGACCCCAGCCTGAATCACGTGACTGCATTTTCATAGTGGGGAGACCTTCACACTGCCGTAAGCCGTAAACCCTTGCCTTAAGCGATCGTAAGCAAGTGTGCCAGTCGAAAGCCTAGAAAAATACGTCAATGACAGCACTTGGTATCAAAGCATTGGGCAGTTGGGGTCGGGATTTGGATCGCAGCATCTACATCCTAAACTCCAAGCCTTAAGGCCTGCACCCTGAAGCTTCCATGCGACTTGGTTGGGTATTCGAAGTACCCGATAGCCTATATGGGAGTTTCCGAAGATAGGGGACCTTGATATAGTACCCCTACTATAGTAGGGTCCTTATTATTATAAGGACCGCAAAATAAGGTAACCCCTAATTTTCGGAAACTCCCATATACATAGGCCATATCCTTATGACGACCCCACTCATCATCAGACTGCTACATGTGACTCTTACTGCAACTCTACGCAGGCTCGTCCTAGCGAAGCGGGAGGCAAAAGATGCCCCTGCTACTGAAATCCCCAAAATATGGGTGTTTGTAGTAATAGTGTTCCGAAATTCGCATGTAGTCCCTGTATAATGAAAGTATAAATGTACCCAATCCCCCCCACCCCGCCCTCGCATTAAAGACCTACTCCAGTTAATTGCTGCGGCCCCATTGTTACACCCGATACAAACCGCATAGACGCCTTATTCAAATCTTTTTAAGGAGCCCTCAAAGGAACCCTGTTCACTAAGGTCGCGATCTTAGCAGGAGTATTGTGCTCTTTGGGTCGATATTGAATTTGGATGGATCATAGCAGGATTCCGTCTCGAGGTCGACAGTCATTCGGGCACAGGCCCGGAGTCATGGGTGAGCTGGAGGTTGTCAAACATGTACTGTTGTCTCACAGTTCTTCTTGTGTTTGGGGGTTGGGGTTGTTCGCTACTACGGGTTTTAGAAGTTTGGACGTGGTTTTAATTTTGGGAGTGGCTTTTTTGGGGGGCATTCGTTGTTGGGGTCTAGTTGTGACGGTTTCTCTGTCAGCAGGCGGTTTTCAAGGCCCCGAGTATTCACAGTAGAGGTGACTAAAATGGTTATTACGCGGAACAGTTTCGGATCGTGGCGTGAGTATGGCAATGGGGGAAGGCAAAGTGTTGTCGGGCGGATGAATCGGGCGCAGGATCTCAGGGCTGACGAAGCGCATTCTGAAGAATTATACAAGACTATGGCTAGGCACTCAGCGGCAATGGGGCCGAGCTTGATATGTAGAGTATGGCTGAGTACGGTTGCGTCATGCAGCGGCGAAGGATTGGGCGTGATTGGGTGTGCAGGGCTACCATACAATGTTTTGTTTAACTTCAGGCTGCAGCGACATCCGTCAAAACTGTTGAGCATGGCTACAGGGGTTGTGATCTTGGGCTGCGGGACTTCCGAACTTGGCATTCAGAGCCAGTTTGCTCGTACCCTCCTCCGGACCTGCAGTGGCCTCTGAGACGTGCCTGCGAGCCACCACACAAACAAGACGTTTAAACCTTTCCAAGTGTTTCAGTGTTTCCAGCTTGTCGGGGGAAAAGAGCTATGGGGCTCGGATGCTGTTGGCTGTAGTTTGCTGTTGTAGTAGCTGTATCTTCGCCGCCTGGGCTGCCCGAAGAAAATGTGAGGATCGTGATAGTAACAGTTCCTATTTGTTGTCCCCATACCCCCAAACCTTATTTTTATTATAAAGGCCCCTGCAGTACCCAACCTTGCACGGTTGGGCTTCGCTCGACCTTCGACAAAGTGGATGTTCCAGCCAATGAGGGCCCAGAGAGGCTCGTGAAGCGTATTTCACCGTGAGGAAATGCCTCGGACTTGAGATCAGGGTTAGTAATTTGTAAGAGTAGTGTTGTTTCAGAATGTCAGGCGACTACAAGTGCGACGATAGTTGCTACGACTAGTGCTTCGCACTGCTGCCATGTTGTTGCTAGTAGCGCCGACCAACAGCAGGAACAAGAGTAAATTTAGCATCTCTGCTGGCTATCGTGCGTCGAGCAGCGCCGCATGTCGATGAGGATCTAAAGACCGAGGCTGAGCGATGGGATATCTGATCGTGGCTAGAGACGTGTCAATGTGAGCTGCCTGTGGCGTTGTGGAAAGAACTGTTTGGGTTGCTTCTGAAGGAAGATCTTCCATGAAGTGCACCCTCGGACTGGAGGCGAAAGGCTATGCCAAGGAAGCCTCAGGGCTGACAATCAAGCAGACTGTGGACAAGTAGTAATTAGTTTCAACAGCAGACTGACGTAGACACCATGGCTATCAAAGCAGATGTTCCACGCATTCGTCATGGTGATTTCCCGATCTCTCCACGGCACGATATCATGGTCACAACCGGCGTAGGACTCAATGTTTGCTGTCTGTTTCCTCCATACAGTTCAGGACCCTCCCTCTGTTACTGTTCTATCGTGAGTTATGTGATTCTTCTTCCGACTATTGGTATTATTAGTACGATCGACATTATTTATGCACACTTACTTTTCACTTCTTGGTCTTATGAATGTAGCGTCATGATTATTATAGTGTTAGCAGGGGAGCTCCATCGGTAAACTCTGCTCCAGAACTCCACCAGGATCTCTTAAGCTGTAACCCAAAGTCTGTACTTCCTGAAAAAACTGACTACTACTGTTAATACGTATTCTTCGTTGCTAGTCTTATTATTGTTAATTGTATTATTACGATTACTGTTAATGTTGTATTTGCTTGGTCCTTCCCTGCCCTCTACTCTGCCAGCGATGCTCAGCTAGGCAGGTAACACGGAGCCAAATCACACCAAATTCCCAAAACCTATGCGGCACGTCCTGGGGAAGTAGGAGGCAAAAGAAACCCGCAAATCCGATTGCTGAACAAGAAAGAAGTTACAAGCTTGCATTATCCTCGATTCAAACCCTACTCAAACAACCCTAGTCTTCTTGGTATTCTGAAAGTAACACGGAGGAGAAGAGCCTCAACAAAACTGATACTCTCCTCTTCACCCTTACACAACCCTAAGAAGAAAGAAAAGCACGTTCTCGGCCCGCAGGCTCGACAGCGCATTGCTCAGCTGGAGGCCTCGGGCCCGGGGGGATGATCCCTCAAAGCTTCCCACTGGAGCTCGGAGTTCTCGCAGTTTCATGCAAATTTAGGCAGCATGCTTCGGAGCTTTCCGTGCTTGCGGGGGAGTTTGAGGCTGTGGGAAACGTCTTCGCGTTTTTGAAGGGTTCGCCATGATCACGGCACTGATTTCACCGTTTGCTGTGTAGGGCTGATGCTTTGTGATAATCGTAGTGTTCAGATTCTAATGATTCTAGTGAACTGACCCGGGTAAACACACAGAGCTCCAGCTGAGATTGGCAATAATTGCTCTCAAGGCTCTAGGACCCAAGCCAAGACTGCAAGCCCCAAACCCTCAACCTTACACGTCTTACACTCTAAACCCCAACCCTGAAGTAGACGCCTGACTTTGTTTTAGTATTACCCCACCTGTAGGGTTTCTTGTTCTGATCATGAATGTTAGACCCCTGAACCCTCTTCCAATCATTGAAGTCAGCCATATGAAATCCTAAATCCCCGACTGGCGAGCAGGTGGCCTGCGCAGGGGAGGTGTCTTCGCGGGCCAGATGCACAGATGCAGGGCAGTTCCCAGAAAGCTGGGTTTAGGGCTTTGGGCTTAGATTATCAACAATCACAACAAGATACGAAGAATCAAGAATAATACTAAAACAATACCAATAATTCTAAAACAATACCAGTAATACTTGTTTAGGGTCCTCAGGCTTCTGAAGAAGTTAGGGTGTAGGTATGGTATGGAGCCGTGGAATCCTTGCCGGCCTTGTGCGAGTTTTTAGAGTCGAAACCTCCACTGTGGTGGAAGAACCCCTGAACCCTATAAAGCCCTTCAAAAAAGCTCAGGGTTGGATTTTGTATTGAATCCGGTGCCCTGGGTGGACAGTGCCTGAGCGATCCAAAAAAGCGCGCTGCGAGACACCGAAAGCCACGGAAGCGCCTCCTGTAAGACTGCGATCTAGTCTTTTCACTCCTACTACTACCGTAAGAACCCCATGGTGTCACCACACTATTTCGTTTCAGGAGTAGTCATACTTCTTAGCTAGCAACAGCAAAAGCTGTAAAAGCAATAGTGGCACAAATGTGGCACGTGTGGCAGGCATCGTGACGCAAAGCTTCATCTGCTTCAGACCCTGTCGTGCTTGTCCGCGACTACTCAGAATACTACGAGGGGCGCGGAGCATCTTACCTGTGTCTTCGCTGAATATAGAAGTTCGGATGACACTGCCAGATAATCTGACACTTATCACAAGCTATCGCAAGCTTACCCTGACACCTCAGTCCCTCACCCCAAAGCCACGAACCAAATCATTGTGCCGCCTATCTCTCCGGAAACAGTGGCATGATATCAGGTCGTGGGGTGTCGGCGGTTGAGTGGGACTGCCGTCCGCAGCTCAGACTGGGGCATCGTGCTGTCATCCTGAGAATATGGATACAGGGGCTTCTTTTTCGACATCGTGGTGGTGGTTGTTCATGATACGAGTAGTTTTAGTCAAGAGAAAGTAGTCGTATCGTCATTGCCACTAGCGGGTTTGCGGCTGCTGCTGCTGCGACAACCCGTGGAAGAACGGGCACAACTGTAAAATGCAACAGCAGAAAACAACAATAATCACGATACATAACATGACCGCCGCAGCAACAACAACAACACCAACAGCAGCGGCATGCTCAGCAGCGACAGCGACAACAAGAAGAACAACAACAACAACAACAACAACCACAGCACAAAATACAAGATCAGCAATCGCAACAGCAGCAACAACAAAAGTATCAACTGCAGCAGCAACCTCAGCAACAGCAACCACCGTCACCACCACCAGCACCACCCACAACACCAGCACCTCCAGAGCAACCACAATCACCGCCACCACCACCACCACCGCCTCCTGCACCACCCCCAGCACCACCACCAGCACCGCAGCAAACACCACAGCACTGGCAACAGCACCAGCACCAGCGCCAGCAGCACCTCAAGCACCACCACCTGCTCCACACCGCCACCAACAACAGCAACACCAACAGCAACAGCAACCGCAGCAGCAGCAACAACAACAACAACTGCTGCTACTACTACTACTACTACCACCACCACTACTACTACTACCACTACTACCTCTCCTGCCACTACATCTTGGACGACGAGGAGTTTTAGCAGTAGTAGTAGTAGTAGTAGTAGTAGTAGTAGTAGTAGTAGTAGTAGTTGGTGTTGTTGTTGGTACAGACAAAAACAGCAGCCCGTACTTGTTGTTAATTAGAAGCAATTGGGAATGCTTCCGGCGACCGCATAGGATGCCTGTAGAGTTTTGGGAAGTGCAAGCCATGGTTTACACAGCAACTGCCCCATGATAGAAATGCGGTGTAGGTTGGGTGGTTGTTGTAAAGGGGGGGGGTCAAAACAACAGACGGGGCTCAAGTTTTTGCCTCTACTACAGGGGGTGGAGACAAAGGCAACAGCGAAATCAGGACTTTGTCTCTACCCCCTGTAGTAGAGGCAAAAACTGGGGCCCCGTCTGTTGTTTTGACCCCCCCCCCTTTACAACAACCGCCCACATTACACCACATTTCCACCACAGGTATAGGAATCTGCGATATCCAGAAGGGGTTCTGATTAGGTGTTGGAAGGGCTTGTCTGGAATTTTGAGGGGTTTGCATTGGACACCCGCATACTCAAAACTATAGTTACCGGTTACTATGCAGTAGTGTGCACAGGCCTCGCAAATGCATAATCTGCACAGCGGGGAACTGAAATACACACCAAATCCATTGAACATACACACCAAAATCATTGAAATACACACCAAATGCACTGAAATACACACCAAGTACACACCAAATCCACTGAAATACAAGTAAATCCACTGAAATACACACCAAATCCACTGAAATACACATCAAGCCCATTGAAATGCACACGAAATCCACTGAAATACACACGAAATCCATTGAAATACACACCAACTCCACTGAAATACACACCAAATCCATTGAAATACACACGAGATCCACTGAAATACAGACGAAATCCATTGAAAATACACACCAAACAGTATACATCACAGGCATCCTTTGGCACTGTATTGTTGTTGGGGAGGGGGGGTAAAACAACATGACGGGGCTCCTGTTTTTGTCTCTACTTAATGTACAGACAAAAAGCAGATATATGGGTTGACGGGGCTGCAGTTTGGGTTTGTACCTTGTTGTTGTTGTCGTAGTAGTTGTATTCGTAGTCGGTGTCGCAGTAGTAGTAGTCGTCGTCGTCGTGGTGGTGGTGGTGGCGGCGGCGGTGGTGGTGGTGGTGGTAGTAGTGGTAGTGGTAGTGGTAGTGGTATGATAGTGGTGGTGGTGGTGGTAGTGGTATGTTAGCAGTAGTGGTGATGGCGGTGGTGGTGGTGGTGTTGTACTAGTAGTAGTGGTGGAAGTAGTAAGTAGTAGCAGTAGCAGTAGTAGTCGTCGTGGTGGTGGTGGTAGTACGAGTTGCGCCGGTATGAACGACCGAGTAGTGCTACTTCCGGCTTTGCTATCGGATTCCGTAGTTAGATAGATAGCCAGGTGACGACGCCACCTCGTGTTCAGCACACTTTCCCTCGTGGGGCGGGCCGCAGCGGCGCCCAGTGATTGCTCGACCACGCAATGTCAGGTTTCAGGTTATGCGGGTTGCGTCAATGCTTTGCATGCAGGACGTCTGGTGCGGTAGATGTGCAAGACTGAATTTGGCCCAAGATTTTGCAGAAGCTGGGCAAACACTTATGTTGCAAACCGAGCCGGTCACATGCATCCAGTCCAGACAGGCGCAAACAGCACCTCAATCGGCCCAGTTTAGTAGGACTGTTGCCAGTGGCTGTTCCATCCTCGGGGCCTCCACTGCTCAGCACGAGATGGCGCCACGTTTCGGGATCCGTGCCTGATTTCATTCTTCGTTTAGCTAAAGACTGTGGCATGGGCGGCGTAAGCCCCGTAGCACAGGGGGTTGGCAAAAGTTCGAGTCAGGATTCGTGTATGACAAATGAATTGTGAGCCACTTCTTTCGGGCCGTGGAACTCAACTGGCAGGGGCCCTTCGGATATCATTAGGTATACACGCGCGATGAGATAATTAGGCCGTTGCCCTGCACCTTTGAACTCCGACCCCCAAGCCGCTGCCGCTGTGAAGTCATTGGTATCACCTACATAGTGGGATCCTGGAGCTATGTGGCTCACGGTTCCAAACAAGTCAAGCGAGAATTACGCAAATATCATCTTGCAAGAAAGCTGGGGCATGCTGCATGGCTCGCAGTTCTTTAAGGGCCCTACAGAGACCTCCATCTGTGCACCCAAGGAAGAAGAATCCCGCGCAGAGGACAGCTGCAACTCTCAGAAATGCAGGCAAACCGCTGCGCCGCAGGGGGAAAGCACGTCAACGCTTGCAGTGTGGGAAGAGAAACAATCTATGCAAGACGATGCAGGCACCCATGCACTCTCGAAGTCTTGAACGAAGCGGTCAGTATGCCACGCCTGGTTGCTTCGGATGCCGTAGGGAATCCTGACAGGCAACCGCAGCTATGAAGATGTTGTAGCAAGTGCACCAGAGGGTACGACTGACATACACGTGGGAACATGCGGCAGGTCACGTGTCGCTGTCTCCAGACACTTGGCTTTGCCAGAATGGAGGTGTCATGGGCATGCTTGTGACATCTTGTGACATTTTTGCCTGCATTCTGTCAGCATCTCAGAGTCAAAGAGGCGCTGCCCCAAGCATACCAAATAACAGCAAGCCCACAACAACACCAGGCTCCTCTTAACGTTTGGTTTTCAGGATGCCTTCAAGCTCTTTTTGAACCAAGGACCGGGCGGGAAGCGCAGATGCAGCAGCTGTGAAGAGCCCTCTCAGTCAGCACCCGAGCTCTGTAATGCTGAGGTGTCGGTCAGGAGCCTGCAGTTGTTGTGGCTTGAAGCACAAATTTTGGATTCTCAAACCCGAAACAACCTTCCACCGCGGTCGCTATGAAGGCCAGCTGTTCGAGCAGAAGCCGTTCCTGGTGGCAGACAGCTGACTTTGCATGACCCGGCGATACTATCTGGGCTAATTGAAATTTAGGGGTGCCTTACTTTTTACAGGTCCTTCAAGTGAGACTACTCAAACCCAGGGTTGCTTGGAGTCTGGGGTTCAGGGCTCGTTGAGCATGCGCCCGTCCATTAGAAGGTCGGTTGGGGCAGCTTCTCTTCGGGTTTTCGGAGCATGTAGCTTTGAGCTTCGTGGTTCAACGGTTGACACTAAACCCAGGTGCGTCATGATCTCTCCCATTAGCGTTGTTTCACATATCAGACTCCGAACCATATGCCTCGCCTGGATTGTCCGAGTGTGAGCACCGAAACCGTGGGTTACAGCGTTTAGGGCTCAGGGTTCCACCGTCTCAACCCTCGGAGCGAAGGACTCTTGGATTTTCGAGGATTGCATAGTCTTTCTGCGGACTAATACAAATACTAACAAGAATAAGAGTAGTAATAAAGATAACAATCATACTCGATGTGAGACTTTTTGTTGTGGTAAGTGGCCAAGGTTCGGCTTTCATCCGAGCACCCCGAAGAGTCTGGCGACTAGCCTCTTGTCTTCACCAGGGCTGCAAGGCCGTAGTGTTTACCTTAGCCTTAGCCCCAAATATCCTACAGCACCCGCTTTCAGGACGTATACATGTAGAGTAATCCGAAGATGGACCCCCGATAAAGGTAGGTTTTATAGGGTTCAGGTAGGCCGTCGTACTTCGGGCAGAGAGTCTTTCAATGTTCTTGCGCTGAGCGTTAACGGTTTGAGGGTTGAGTAAGGCCCTTTGCATGCTTTTCTGCGTGTTAGGATTTCATGGGCATCATGCGGCATCATTGAGTCATTGGATGCCCTTTAAGAGTCCCGGAACGGAGCCTTGAATTCTGGGTCTCAAGTCCCAACACTAGTGCTCTACCGGACTCTGCTTTGAATACTGCTTCACTGATTTTGATCGATCTTTTGCTACGGTTGCTCTGACGTGCAGGTCAGACAGTGGCGGGCTTGAGAGATGACACCAGGCTGCAGGAGATGTCGATGTACGTCACGGCCCGAGGCTGGTGGAGGGACCGTGGAGAGCATCTGAGCGCAGTGAGTGTTGAAAGTCACAGTCGTGGCACTGACACGGCAGTGTGAGAAAAAGGGGACGGATCCAAGGAACCCTGCATGAATATCGCTTTACCAAGAACCCGCACGTAGTAGTGTCTAGATTATCAGATCTCCCCTCAAAAGCACTTTGATATCTGCCAGGCCCACGATTTTGTTGTTGAGTGCGAATGGCTGCTATCATGCTTTTCAGTGCTAAGGTTGTCGATGTTGGGCTGCATGGTATGCGAGAGAAACTTGCACCCAGGGCTCAGTTTTGAGGAAAAGCACGGTTTGTGCTTGTCGGCAGGGTGCCAGACGCTTACTGCACTTGCCGTGAGAGCTGCGACGATGTCTACAGGTTCTACCAGTAGCTTCCAGATCCAACGCATCCGGCAGGAGGCACCCCGCTTCCGGCTCTGGGCCCACGTGTTGATGACGACTTGGGACCACTGTCACCGCTAAGCCGGATCAGATCAGCAGCGAAGCAGCATGTGGTGCAAATCCGAAGCTTCAGCGCTTCCTGCATATACAATTAATAAGCGAAGACAGCCCGAGCTGGGTAGTCGTGGAGTTAAGGCGTGCTAGTAGATCTGGTGAGTTGCATTGCGAACGGCTCGATTTTTTCGGTATATTTCACCTACTTCAGCAGAGTCATGGAACTAGAGTCTCCGAAGGATCAGGCTTGCAATGTCGTAGGCCCAGTCCATCTCAGACTGCCAAATTCCGAAGATGTCATAGCAGCGAAGAGGAGAAGATAAGAACGACCCAGCTCATCGATCAGCCACTACGGTATGGAAGCGTTCGCTTTAGGGTTTCGGGTTCCTTAACCCGAAGAATCCCAGCATCTGGCACCGTCGAAAGCACGTCTAGCGAAGCTGAGCCCCGTCTTTTGATGGAAGCTGTGAGAAGTCGAACATCTCGCCTATACCTCAGGTGCCGACAGATCCCCCATCTCCACCAGCCGACAACTCCATGCGAGCCTTCTATTCCAGGACAGGAGAGGGTCGCAGTTTAGGTTCAGGCGGGTCCGCATCATGCATTCCAAGATTGTTTGCCTTATGATCGATACCTGCGTAGGTGAATATCATCTGGATAGCCGCTGTGTGGGTATTGATTGTCATGGTGTCGGTCGAACGAAATTTGAAAAGTTGCGCACTTAAATGGCAAAAATCTCACAGGACTGGCAGAAGAGGTTTCGGAGACGCTGCAGGCAGCACTCGAGGCTTCGGCAATGCTCCCGAGCTGCAGAGGAAGGTCTTACTTAAGGGTTAAGGGTTTGTCCTTATTTGCAGCGATTTCTTAGGGGTTTATAGGGTATACGGTAGACGGGCTTGAATGGGGCCTTGTCGGGTTTTGGTGACTCAGTCGGGGCTTCGATCGAGATGGGGTATCTGGAAATCCTTTTCTGCGGTTTGGGGTCCTCATGGTACGGATCCTGCGATTTATCAAAGGTTCCCAGACTTTTGTGAGGATCGCTAATTTCCCGCATCTCCCCTCTGTGATCGGAGTCTTGTCGCTGTTATTGCTTTCTTGCCCGGTGAATTATGTTAAGTCCTGATCCAAGACCCGCACCGGAGCTGCAGATGGGAGTGACGCCCGTCTGCATCGCATCGCAAGCTGGGTGAGTGTTTTGGGTTTGGGAAACTGGTGAGTGTCAATTAACACGGGTTGCATAATCCTGTGGGCGCACGAAGAAGTGCAAGACTGAGCTCGTCGAGGCTCTTCCTGTCTACAAGCTCGTCTTGCCATTTAACTTAACGTGACCTGGCTCAACCGAGGATGGCTACATGGAGCAGACGGGCGGATGGTCGGTGAGACACACACAGAGCGGGCTGCAGCGCGGGGGCGAAGGGGCGTCAATGCGGCGGAGCATTGCGTCTGCAGTATGTGCGTCCTTGGCGGCCGAACTGCTTGGTCAAGATCAAGACTTGAAAAGCATTACGATGTCAGCAACCATGTCATGGCCGCCACGTGGCAGGGCACCCTGCGCAATACTGGGCATTTGCAAGGGCTCCGACTTGCACTTCGCTCGTTCTCCACCCGAGGCAGGAGCACCTTCAATCCCTATGGCAGCATGACAGGCCGACTGCTGCATCATCTTCGTAGTGCCAGTAAAAGTTTGGCCTTTGCCGGCATTACGTATGGTCACCAAATCTCCGGACAGTGGATCGCTGTTGTGCCTGACGTTGCACATCATGCCAGCACTCGTCGGTAAGGCATGTAACATTCTAGTCCAACGATCGGCATGTCCGGCCGAAGCTCCTTTTCGTCCCTGCTTCCCTTCATTCATTACAATCGCACAAGAACGAAACATGAAAGAAAAGACATCTACCGCTCAAACAGGAGATGAGTCCATGGGCGGGAAACCTCACCCGTGAAAGGGATCCGCGAGCTGGGTTAGCGGCGTCCGTTGTCGGTTTTGGCTGTACATGTAGCTGTTGACAACACCTCTTTATTTATCTCATGTATTCTCAAGCCTCAACGGACATTTGGAAA